AGTGACATGAATAGTGCAGAGGGCTATGAGGATACAGAGGAAGAGTGAGAACAAATTTGGTTGAGAGGGCCAGGGAAGGCTTCGTGAAGGAGGTAGCCTTTTTCTGGGTAGGTTGGATAGAATTTTGGTAGGTAGAGATGCAGATAGAGGATATTGTAGGGAGCAGAAAAAGCAGGAACAATGCAACAAAAATTTACTAAATACCTATTGAATACAAGACCCTTATCTTTTTGGTTTTTGCTAGAGAAAAGCAGATTGGGTCTATCAAAAAGTAGGTAAGTATTGTGGGACAATGACACCCTTGCTCTGAAAGCTCTAGAGACTTTATTGCTTCTAGGCTAAACTACTATGATTGGCATTTAAAGACCTTTATAATATGGTGCCGATCTATTATTCCACATTCATGTCATAGCATTCCTTTTATACCCACCCACCCCACCCCCAATTCCATGTGCACAAAATTCCATGTGCATTGGAAACTCTCCATGCTTATGACAGTCTCCTTCTTAACCTCTGCCTTCTGGAACCCCTAGGTTTCAGGATTTAGCATAGGTGTCACTCCCTTTGAGAAACTCTCCTTGATCATTCCCCCCTCCCTTAGTAACCTCTCCTCAAATCATTTTGCATAAATGCTGTGTTTTTTGTGGACAATTTACACAACAGAATAGAAAAGGCTCCAGGGCAGGGGGCTTGCGCCTTTAGGTTTTCATTCCCATTGCCTAGCATAGTTGTTGCTGTTGTTTGTTGTTGAAGAGGACCACAATGACATCAATGATGTCAAGCACCAAAGAAGTGCTTAATCAAGTCTCTTTGATTGCTCAGTTGTGGTGGACTTTAAATGCCATGCTAAAAGGTATTGATTTCATTCCTCGGGCCGCGCCAGACCACTGAAGATGTTCAAGCAGGAGAACGACGATGGGAACTGAGCTCTAGGGAAATTAATCTTGAAGAATTTTTATTTATTTGTTTTAGGGTGATGTGGGTAGGAGAGACGGGCTGCAGAGGGAACAGTTAGGAGTCCATTATAATAGTTTGTCTGAATAGTAAGCAACCCCTTTATTCAAAGGCATTACGATAACTCCCAGTGTTCAGGTGAAATGTATTGCAGAATGTGGATTTAGGGTTGAAGGGACGCTAGAGGCTGTTCAATTTCAGCCTCTCATTTTACAGATTAGAAAATTAAGATCCAGGTTTTGACTTGCCCAGTGTCACACAGCTTGCAAGTATTGCTGCTATATACTACTTGCAATGAATTAATACTAATATGGTAATGAAGGTCCTTTAACTTCTCTGAGCCTCAGTTTATATAAAAGGAATGAATTGGACTAAAGGATCTCTATGGTCACTTCCAGTTCTAAAATTTAATGATTCCTATGAAATTCATCATTCCCTCCCTTCCCCCAACAATGATTCCCTGCCCCTTCTGTCTGGCTGGAAAACTCACTGTCATATTTGACCCATCTCTGTCCCTTATCTCCATTTCCAAATAGCAGCCAAGTACTATTAATTCCTCCTTTTCGTTCCCATTGCACTTTATTCCAGGCTCTTATTTGTCACAGGGTCCTGTCATAGACTCCTGAAGAGCTTCCCAGCTTCCAGTTTCTCATACCTTGAACCTCTTTTCATGCTGTCGGCAGATTTGCCTTTGGTGAGTGATTTCCTTCTCAATTCAGCCTTCAGTTTTCCTCATCTATAAAATGTCAGGATTGGACTACATGGTCCTTAAAGTCCCTTCAGGTTCTTACATTTTGTGATTTCTTTTTTTCTTTTTGAGTCTCCCTAATGATTAGCTCTATCACATCATTCCACCACTCAAACATCTTCAATAGGTCCTTAGTGATCTACAAATGGACCCTAAAAATTCAACCCCAGCAGGAGAAGCCCACTGCTATTGGGTTCCAACTAACTTTTGCAACTGAATCTTTCATTATTCCTTTTCACATATGCTTTGTTTCAACCAAATTACACATTACTTGCTGTGTGTTTCCACCTCACTACCTTTGCTAACACCATTTGTTATGCCTGGCAAGCCCTTCTTCCATATGTATCAGCTGAAACCCATCCTTTAAAAACCAGTTCAAATGTACCCATCTCCTAGAAACTTCACCCAACTCTCATTTAGAATTCAATTCAGCAAACCCTAAGCACCTATTTAATGCAGAGCATTACTCAGCTGTCAGTGTAATTTTACTAAAGCATAGGTGCATCCACATTTATTGCTCCCCTATTTGATAGCGCTTCTTAGTACTTCCAGGAACAAATGCAAAATCCTCTATTTGGCCTTTAAAGCCCTTCACCAACTAGGCCCTTGCTTTCTACTCACACTTCACTCCTCTCTCTGCAGTCCATGATCCATGGATCCTGGCTTTCATGGTGCTCCTTACACACAGTACTCTAGCTTCCCCTTCCATGCATTTGCTCTGTCCGTCTCCACTCTCCTGGAATGCTCTCTCTCCCTTCTGGGTTTCCTGGTTCCCTTCAATGTTCATCTCAAATCCTA